ATCCACCCGCCTCGGCCTCCCAAAGTACTGGGATTACAGGCGTGAGCCACCGCGCCCGGCTTTAAATCCTTTTCATGTTCAAGATCCACATACAGCACCTGACACTTACCCTGGGCATCATGCCATATACTTCCTACAAGGAGGGAGAGAAACGAGTTATATTATTAAAAGAAATAGACATCTTTCAAAAATACTCACTACGGTCAAACCTGGAAACACAGGAGAGAATTCCAAAAAGACATGAAAACGCCAGCCCAAATGTCCAGAACTTCAAGTATTTATACATAAACCTTTTCTTTATTTGAGGAACTCATCAAATTACCATTAGTTAATGGCTATTAAAACATTAAATATTTAATGGGCTTACGGAGAAGAGAGGAGCACCACCCCCGCCACCAAATGAAGGTGAGAGATATTGGTATAAATAAGTTAATAAAAACGGTTTTGGTCACATAGAGGACCTCACCTATAGCCAAGCCATGATTCTGTGCTATGAAACACTGCCTGTTGGGCTGTGACAGACATAGGAACAAAGTTGCATCCTTATGCAACAGAGCCTCACTCCAAGATGGAGACACCTACCTGTTGTTGCACAGCCTGCACCTCCTCTGCCATGAGACCTTCAGACTCCAGGTCTTCAGCTACCTTGTTAATATCCTTCAACCGCGACTCATTGGCTTTCAGATCCTTTAAAGCAAAAGCCGTAATAACTAAAACCCCAAATGACAAGTTAAAGGAGAAGAGAGCAACACAGAGTCATAAACTATGGCTTAAAACTATAAGGATTCTTCTACAAGGGCCTACCAAAAAAAAGGGCTAAAAAAAATGAACTGTAAGGATCTGCTCAACAGGTATCTCTGTGGATTGGTTTTCCTGTTCCTCAGATAATTATTGAAAAAAGTTTGACTCAAATTTACTTCATTAACTGTAGTTTTTTCATTTTTTGGGTTTTTTTTTTTAGAGACAGGGTCTTGCTGTTACCCAGACTGGAGTGAATATTGCAATCATGGATCACTGCAGTCTCTTCCTCCCAGGCTCAAGCAATCCTCCTACCTCAGTCTTCTGAGTAGCTGGGACTACAGGCATATACACCACTATTCCCAGCAATTTTTAAAAAAAATCAAATAGAAACTTTTAAAAAACTTCTTTTTGGTTTTAATACAGTGTTTTAAAAATGTGATGAGGCAAGGTGTGGTGGCTCACACCTTTAATACGAGGATTTAGGGAGGCCAAACCAGGAGAATTGCTTAAGGCCAGGAGTTCGAGACCAGCTTAGGCAACATAACCAGACCCCATCTCTACAGGAAAAATAATTTCTTTTTTTGTTTTTATTTCTTTTCTTTTTTTATTTTATGAGACTGAGTCTCACTCTGTTGCCCAGGCTGGAGTGCAGTGGTGCAATCATGGCTCACTGCAACCTCCACCTCCCGGGTTCAAGTGACCTTTGTGCCTCAGCCTCCCCAGTAGCTGGGACTACAGGTAGACGCTACCACACCCAGCTAACTTTTGTATTTTGACTAGAGATGGGGTTTCACCATGGTGGCCAGGCTGGTTTCAAACTCCTGACCTCAGGTGATCTACCCACCTTGGCCTCCCAAAGTGCTAGAATTACAGGTGCGTACCACTGGGCCTGGCCAGAAAAATTTTTTCGATTTTCCCATCTATGTCCATAGTCCCAGCTACTCAGGTGGCTGAGGTGGGAGGATCACTTGAGCACAGGAGTTCAAGGTTACAATGAGCTATGATTATACCACTGCACTCTAGCCTATGCGTAAGAGTGAGATCCTGTCTCTAAAATATAAATAAAAACAAGATAAAATTTCAATGCGCAGTTACTATAGGAGAAAGAAGCTCTCCCTCCTCATTTTAATCTGTTCTAAGAATACTTTTTTGAGACAGAGTCTCACTCTGTTACCCAGCCTGGAATACAGTGGAGCGATCTTGGCTCACTGCAACCTCTGCCTCCGAAGTTCAAGCAATTCTCCTGCCTCAGCCTCCCAAGTAGCTGGGACTACAGGCGTGTGCCAACATGCCTGGCTAATTTTTTGTATTTTTAGTAAGACAAGGTTTCACCATGTTAGCCAGGATGGTCTCGATCTCCTGATCTCGTGATCCGCCCACCTTGGCCTCCCAAAGTGCTGGGATTACAGGCGTAAACCACTGCACCCAGCTTGCTGTAAGAATACTTTTAAGCAGTGGAATGGATAAACAATATTTAGTACATCCAACAGTGAAGTATTATTCAGCAATAAAAAAGAATGGAGTACTGATACATGCTACAAAAAGGATGAACCTTGAAAACATTATGGACCAGGCATGGTGGCTCACATCTGTAATCCCAAAACTTTGGGAGGGTAAGGTGAGCAGATGGCCTGAGCTCAGGAGTTTGAGACCAGGCTGGGCAACATGGTAAAACCCCGTCTCCTCAAAAAATACAAAAATTAGCTAAGCACAGTGGTGTGCACCTATAGTCCCAGCTACTCAGAAGGCTGAGACAGAAGGATCACTTGAGCCCAGGAAGCAGAGACTGCAGTAAGCTGAGATTGGGCCACTGTACTCCAGCCTGGGCAACAGAATGATACCTTGTCTCAAAAAGAATAAATAAATAAGGACCGGGAACGGTGGCTCATGCCTGTAATCCCAGCACTTTGGGAGGCCAAAGTGGGTGTATCACCTGAGGTCAGGAGTTTGAGATCAGCCTGACCAAAACAGAAACCTCATCTCTACTAAAAATACAAAATTAGCTGGGCATGGTGGGTTGCACCTGTAATCCCAGCTATTCAGGAGGCTGGGACAGGAGAATCACTTGAACCCAGGAGTCAGAGGTTGCATTGAGCCGAGATCGCACCACTGCACTCCAGCCTGGGCAACAAGAGTGAAACTCTGTCTCAAAATAAATAAATAAAAAAGTAAAAGAAAGAAAACATAAACAAAAGAAGCCAGCTGCAAAACATCATATAACATGATTCTATTTATATGAATTGTCCAAAACAGGTAAATACAGAGGTAAGCAGAAGATGAGTGGCTGCTTGGGCCACTGGGGTTGGGGAGAATGGCAAATGACTACTTGACCGATATGTAGTTTTGTTTTGAAACTATAAAAATGTTTTGGAACTAGAGGTGATGGCTGCACAACACTGAATGTACTAAATACCACTGAATTGTACACTTTAAAATGGTTAGCTTTGTGAATATACCCCAATTAAAAAAAAAAAAAAACTTTCACATCTACTGTAATTTGGTTTAGAAAAGTTCTTATAACAACATGTAGACAAAATGGCATACATTTTCTTAATACTAAACTCATCCAAGAAAAGTTTCAATTAAAGTCATTTAAAAATAGCTACACAGGCCAGGCTGTAATCCCAGCACTCTGGGAAGCTGAGGCAGGTGGATCACTTGAGGCCAGGAGTTCAAGACCAGGCTGGCCAACATAGCAAAACCTCGTCTCTACTAAAAATACAAAAATTTGTCAGACGTGGTCACGTGTACCTGTAATCCCAGATACTCGGGTGGCTGAGGCATGAGAATCACCTGAGCCTAGGAGGCAGAAGTTGCAGTGAGCTGGGATTGAGCCACTGCACTCCAGCCTGGGTGACAGAGCGAGACCCAGAGTGAGTAAGACTCTCTCTCAAGAAAACCAAAAAAAAATTGAAAAAGAATTTGGAGGAAAAAAAAAGCTACATAGATGATGGAATATAATCTGTGTAATTTGCATTCCAGTAATCTGCAGTCAGAAATCAAGAAACTCTGGCTGGATGCAGTGGCTCACGCCTGTAATTCCATCACTTTGGGAGGCTGAGGCAGGAAGATCACCTGAGGTTAGGAGTTCTGAGGCCAGCCTGGCCAACATGGCGAAAGCCTCTCTACTAAAAATACAAAAATTAGCCGGGCATGGTGGCAGGCACCTGTAATCCCAGCTGCTTGAGAGGCTGAGGCACGAGAATTGCTTGGAGTCGGGAGGCAGAGGTTGCAGTGAGCTGAAGTCACATCACTGCACTCTAGCTTGCGTGACAGTGAAACTCCATTTCAAAATAAAAAAATCGGCCGGGTGTGGTGGCTCACGCCTATAATCCCAGCACTTTGGGTGGCCGAGGCAGGTGGATCATGAGGTCAAGAGATCGAGACCATCCTGGTCAACATGGTGAAACCCCGTCTCTACTAAAAATGCAAAAATTAGCTGGGCGTGGAGGCATTCACCTGTAGTCCCAGCTACTCGGGAGGCTGAGGCAGGAGAATTGCTTGAACCCAGGAGGCGGAGGTTGCAGTGAGCCGAGATCATGCCATTGCACTCCGGCCTGGGTAACAAGAGCAAAACTCCATCTCAAAAAATCAATCAATCAATCAATCGATCAAGAGATTCAAATATTTAAACAAAATTTCAGCTGAGCTCTAAGACTGCCCATACCTTCTGAAAGTCATCAAATTTCTTCTGGAGCACCTCAACCTGCTCCAAGTCCGCGCCAACCTCCTCACTTGTCAGAGCAGCTTCCTTCTCATTGATCCACTGCTGTAGTTCATTCGCTTCACGGAACAACATAAACTTCTTGCAACTCTTCTCCAACATGCCTTTACGTTTCTCACCCAGTTCCAGCAGAGAATGATATCTGATGGAATTCAAGATAGTGACAAGAGGGACAGAGAAGGCAGTTAGCTATAGATGCTAACATAAAGAGAAACCATGAGGCATCTCCAAGATGTGGATTCCAGGCTATGAGTTTGTAATGATGATGCCCTAGTAACAGAGTTAATCAGATGAAGAAGAAGATCCCAAGTACCCACACCACAGCCTGTGATATGCAGACACTGTACTATTCACAACTAGGTGGCTAAACAGCCAGGCACACTAATAAGTACAGAATTGGCCTGGGGATAACAACACAACCACAAATGACTGAAACCAAGCGCTTAGCACAGTAACACAGGTTCATGCGACTACAGTGGAGAGATGAGATGAATTTGCTGGGCAGAATGTATACAGAGGGTTTTTTCTCGTCTTTTATAATTCTCTGAACAGCCCCTACGCTGGGGGTGAGGTGGGGGGAGGGTACACTGAACTTTAAAATAGCCTCATATAGGATGTTTTATCTCCATATTAGTAGCACATTTCTTTTCTTTTCTTTTCTTTCTTTTTAGGTAGAGTCTCGCTCTGTTGCCCAGGCTGGAGTGCAGTGGCATGATCTTGGCTCACCATAACCTCCACCTCCTGGGTTCAAGTAATTCTCCTGTCTCAGCCTCCCAAGTAGCTGGGACTACAGGCATGTGCCACCATGCCCAGCTAATTTTTTGTATTTTAGTAGAGACGGGGTTTCACTATGTTGGCCAGGCTGGTCTCAAACTCCTGACCTTATGATCCACCCATCTCGGCCTTCCAAAAGTGCTGGGATTAAAGGCGTGAGCCACTGCGCCCAGCCTAGTAGGACATTGCTAAAATGACACGTTCAGTTCTCAGAAAGTTTTGGCAAGTTCAGAAGGAAAATCAAGCAAAGTACCGAGTATCTGTGCCATTCTGCTACTTGGAAGATTTCTTAAGAATCAAAGAATATTCTAACCCTTAGGAACTAAAATACAAAAGGCTGAAATACTATCTTTGAACATGAAAACAACAAACAATAAAAAACTAAAAGTTAAATCTTTGAACATGAAAACAACAAACAATAAAAAACTAAAAGTTAAAAAAAAATAGAATCACTATCAAATCTAAGTGTCCCAAACTGAAATAAAAAAGCAATGAGTTACCAAGAATCAGAGCACTTTGAGAGAAGCATTTGATTTCCTTTCTACTAAGGAAAACTATAGAACAGGCCTTCAGGTTTGCTGCTGATAGTGGCTAGTCCACCACAAAAACCAGCAGGAGGGGGAACCAACACCACTCTGAACACACAGCTGCACACGGAAGCAACCAAAGAGATAAGCAGTCATTGACCGACACAGCTGCACCGCGACCTCTTCCCTTGTGAGCCAAAGCTGCTGCACAAGACAGGCAGTTCCTCCCACCACCTCATCTTTCTGGATGGACAAAGGCCTTCAAGAGAAGCCGCAGAGGGAGAATGAACAGGGTAGCAGTGGATGTTGGTGCTCTGCAAGACTCTCAGCCTACTCACAGTTCTTCCACCTGCTTCATACGCAGAGATACACTGCCGGCCTCCTTAGTTATGCGTGTCCTGCACAGAGGGGGCACAGCAAAAGCATGCACAAATTAGTGGGATTAATCCACAGGGATGAAAGGCGGCAGCTCCAACTGGTGCCATGATGGTGGATGCTTTATGTTGGGAAACTATGGAGTCATTCAACAGCTCTAAGGAGCAGTCTAAGCTATGACTGAAATGACAGTAAAGAAATAGCAGGAAAATTAGAGGGTTAGTTCACCTTCATTTTCCTGACAGGTCTGCCATGCTTAAGGCAGATTTTCCTGTACTGAAAACACTGGTAACTTCACAGAGCAAGGTCAGGGAACAGAATGGACTAACCTTAGAAAGAAATTTTACTGATTGCTAATAGGCAATTTAGCTATGTATTTGATCTACTTTTTCCTCTTATATTTATGACTCAGACCACTGGTAAGAATACAAACCAAAACCTCCCATTCTTATCTCAATAGTAACAGAATCTATAAGTGGACAACTAACTCTGATCTTACTGAGGATCACTGGGGTCCAAAACTTCCACTATTCTACCCAAACTCTAGTGGGAATGTGTATTTCCTGGATATTTCCCAAGCATCTAAAACTGCTGATTCCACTAGTGAAGTCAGAAATACACTAAAGGAGGGACACAGGGCAATATGGGAGCTCAGCTACAGAAAAGAGGACAGAGCCATTTCATTAAAAATTTCCATTCTCAGAACTCAAAGACATGGCAGAGAGAGAAGCTCTGAAAGCAGCCTTTCAAAGGGGATAGAGCTGCAGGGGTGTAGGATATCTGAAAATCCAATTTCAAAAACCATCTCGAACCAAAAGACAAACGTTAAAATGGCAATGATTAGGAAAATTCTGTTTAGGAAAAACGCATAAGCACTGCTGGAAAAAAAAAAAAAAAGAAAAATAAGTTATCAGTCAAGGGGTTTGAGACCCCAACAGGGAGGCCTGTGGGCTCAAAGTGGGGTGGAGACAGCAGATGTGCAGGTGGGCTCCAGGAGCCTCAGGACACGACTAAGCTTCGGCTCATGTGGAATAGAGTATGTCTACGGGACGCCTGGCTCTTGTGGCCCACAGTGTCATCCTTACTGATTGTCAATCTGCTCCTGCCGCAGTGCTATGCTGCCTTGCTCCTCCAGGAGATTCTCCCTTGAAGCTGACTGGGCGGGGTCCAACTTCTTCACGTAAGCCGCCGGCACAAAACCCTGACGATCGTTCACTTCCACTTTCCACCAATCCTAAGGAAAAAAGAGGAAGAGCTGAAAGTAATTTCCTTCTCTGAGAGGGAGAATCCACGGAGGTCATGTGTGTGCACATACACAACAGCGTTAATCATTTTAAGAGGCGCAAAACAATATTAAAGTCACTTTGCATAACGTCTGATAATTCAGTCCCTTCTCACCTGCCCACAACTGCAGAGGGTTACAGGTAGAACAGCAATGCTGCCTGCCACCAAGGCGAGGCTTCTCTCTGCTTAGATGCTCCAGAGCTGTGCTATCCAACACTGTAGCCACCAACCACATGTGCCCACTTAACTTTCATCAAGCTAGAATTTATTTATTTTTTTGAGAAGGAGTCTTGCTCTATCACTAGGCTGGAGTGCAGTAGTGCAATCTCAGCTCACTGCAACTTCTGCCTCCAGGGTTCAAGCGATTCCCTGACTCAGCCTCCCAAATAGCTGGGACTACAGGCGCACGTCACCATGCCCAGCTAATTTTTCGTATTTTAGTAGAGACAGAGTGTCATGCTGTGAGCCAGGATGGTCTCGATCTCGACCTCATGATCCACCTGCCTCAGCCTCCCTAAGTACTGGGATTACAGGTGTGAACTATTGTGCCCGGTCTTTTTTTTTCTAATATAAATAGAGGGTGGGTCTCGCTATGTTACCCAGGTTGGTCTCGAACTCCTGGGCTCATGTGATCCTGCCATCTAGGTCTCCCAAAGTGCTGGGATTACAGGTGTGAGCCACCATGCCAGGCCTCATTGAGTTATAATTCAATTAAATAAAACACCCAGTTGTGCTAGCCATATTTTAAGGGCTTACTATCACATGTAGCTAGTAGTTACTGCAGGGGCAGCACAGATACCTTACATTTCCACCATCACGAAAAGTTCTACTGGGCAATGCTGCTGTTGAATAAACCAAAGTTAGACCACAAGTTGGTTTAGGTTTAAACTAGAATTAACAGAAAGATAAGAATCACAGGTTTCCTCAAATTCTCATGACAAGGATACATGAGGTGTGGAAATGGGAATAAACTGGCTCTTAAAAATGGCCAATAGCCAGGCACGGTGGCATGTGCCTGTAGTCCCAGCTACTTGGGAGGCTGAGGTGGGAGGACTGCTTGAACCCAGGAGTTCTGGGCTGTGGTGCACTATGCCGATTGGGTGTCCACACTAAGTTCAGCATCAATATGGTGACCTCCCAGAAGCGGGGGACCACCAGGTTGCCTAAAGAAGGGTGAACTGGCCCAAGTTGGAAATGGAGCAGGTCAAAACTCCCGTGCTGATCAGTAGTGGGATCATGCCTGTGAATAGCCACTGCACTCCAGCCTGGGCAACATAGCAAGACTCCATCTCTAGAAAAAAAAAATGGTCAAGAACATTTTTCCAGCCATAACCAAAACAGCAGGCAGGCCTCTTTCAGGATCAGTCAGATAAACTGTGGATGCTTCAAGGCCACTGTTAAATCAGAGTGTATTAGGGAAGAAAGGTTGATGGATCAGAATGGATTTATTATTATCATTATTTATCCTGGAAAAGTCAAAGCCTGTGGGGTGAGGTCACAGCTATCTTCAATGATCTGCTGGGCTGAGATGTATCTTATAGTCTGGAATAAGAACCAACAGGTCCAAGTTACACAGAAGCAAACTGGCTCAACAGGTCAAGAATTCCACCTAGAGGCACTCAATGGTGAAAAGATATCCTTGCTAGTGTGATTCTCTATGCTTCTTGCAGGTATTCAAGATGACAGATTTATTAATATCTTGATGATACACAATACTGCATAAATGTATGTCATGTGGGGGACTGGTGAGGAAATTTATCTCTTTGAATTCTAAGCCTTCTCATTTCAGGGAGACATGCAACCCACAGACGCCCAACTGAGCATATATGGTGATGCTAGCATGGAACAAACATGCAGCCACTCTCTGTGCCTTGCCTTGTTGGTGCTGTTGAGTAAGGTAAGGATATCCCCCTTCTTCATGGTGACCTCTCGGGGACTCTTCTCCTGATAGTCATAGAGAGCCAAGACCAGCTCCTTCCCAGTCTCATCATCCATGGGGGCCACTTGTTGCTAAAAATCCAAAGGAAAGGCAAACACAGTGAAAAGATGACCTCCCCACTGAGTCATCTAAGTACACAGCAGATTCAAACATCCTCAGCTGTACCCAATGTACCAAATATACACTCATGAGTTCTTCACTGAAGCTACCAATAAAATCTGATCCAAGAACTTTAAATTTGGCCGGGCGCGGTGGCTCACGCCTGTAATCCCAGCACTTTGGGAGGCCGAGGCGGGTGGATCACAAGGTCAAGAGATCGAGACCATCCTGGTCAACGCGGTGAAACCCCGTTTCTACTAAAACTACAAAAAATTAGCTGGGCATGGTGGTGCGTGCCTGTAATCCCAGCTACTCAGGAAGCTGAGGCAGGAGAATTGCCTGAACCCAGGAGGCGGAGGTTGCGGTGAGCCGAGA